ATGAATATCTTTAAGCAACAGAAGCAATTGAAAAATTCCACTATATAGATGATTACTTGGATAGTTTTGAAAAAGAGGAACACGCCATAAAAACAGTTAATGAAGTCATTAATATTCTTAACCGTGGATGATTTAAAATGAGAAGCTGGATTAGCAATTCTCCCATAGTTATGAAGCACATTCCGGTTAAACTATGATCAATTTAGACTTAGAAAAATGGCCAACATTGGAGAATACGTTAGGTTTAAATTGGAATCCAAAAGAGGATTCATTTTTTTTTTTAATTAAAAACAAAGTTTTGTTATCAGATTCCACTATATCTACGAAAGGACAAGTCATAAAAGCCGTTATGTCCGTTTATGACCCACTTGGTTTTCTCGCTGCCTTTACAATCCAAGCTAGAATATTGATGTCAGTTTGGTCAGAAAAAATTGACTGGGATCAAAAACTTATTCTTCAATTATATGAAAAATTATGGGTGATAGCGCTTCATATAGTTAATAATTTAAAATTTCCTTGGTGGTATGATGTAATCAGCCCTACTCTAAGCGATATCCATTACACACTTTTAATGACTGGAATGAGAAATGTTATGCTTATGTTTAATACTTTCGTATAGTAGTTTCAGATGGTAGAATTTTCACATGTTTTGTATTGGCCAAATCTAGAGTAAGCAGCCTTAGAACTATAACCATCCCAAAAATCGAACTTCAGTCAGCACTTCTTGGGTCAAGATTAGCAAATTCCATCAAATCTGGACATAGATTTAAAATTAGCAGAATGTATTTTTGGTCTGATTCAAATATTGTAGTAAGTTGGATACATTCAAATCCAAGAAATTATAAAATCTTTGTAGCAAACAGAATTAGTGAAATTTTGGACTTAACTAACCCCGAAGATTGGCGATGGCTTCCTACAAATATAAATAGCCGATGCTGCTACTAGAGGATTATGAGATATTTAAAATTTAGAAATTTGGCTTCGTGGTCCCGAATTTTTAGCGTTGGAAGAGAATCACTGGCCTAAAGATGAAATAAAAAATAAAATAAATACTAACTAAGGACATAAATTTTTTTTTCTAGATTTTCGAATTATTTACGCCTTGTGAGATCCGCTATCTGGGTTTTAAAGTTTATCAACATCTGCAAGAATCGACTGCAACTATTAAATAATGCTGATAATGTTTCTGGAGAGATCACGGTAAAAGAATTTGAAACCGCCGAGTAAGAACTTTTCAAACAAGCACAGAAAGAAAGTTATGGTGAGGAAATCGCTAAGTTATCCAGAAGTCAAACACTCAAGAAATCAAGCCGCATTTTTTAATTAAGGCCTGTACTTGACGAACACGATATACTAAGATTAATTGGCCAACTGAATTACTCTTAGTATCTAGACATGCCCAAATTAAACCACTATCAAGGAAGGGAAGAGATCTTAAACCATCTTAAAGAAAAATTTTGTATTGTATCAAAAAATGTCAAACATCCTGTATGATATGCAAGAGAAAAAATCTTAAGACTGAGTCACAGCAAATGGGATCAATTCCTAATTTTCGTATAACTCATCAAGTCAGATATCAAAGGTTTCTTGGCACCATTTTAATGAGCACAAAACTGCGCAACTTTTACCTAATTTAACCAACTTAACCAACTCTCTGTTACCGTTTAAAAAATAGCAATACTGCTCCTATGAAATAGTAACCATTAAAAGTTACTAAACTATTTTTACATATTTTTAAATATGTCTCACATGCAGGTGGAACGATGAAGCCTACTCTGGCATTTTACTGAAACCAATATGGATTAGAATTGGTACGATCGCAGCGCTGCAAACAACCAACACATTTATTTTCATCAAAACTTTCAGCTTTAACAGCAGATTGTCATTTTTTCGCTGTAAGTTTTTCTCTCTTTTTTATTTTTTATCCTGGATGTTGGTTAAATCTTGAGGTAAGCTTTAGTCCATCCTACAGTGAGCTGATTAATTGTAGGGAATTGTCGAAGAATCTGAGAAACACTTTACAGGGTGTCGTTTTTTGTTACTTTAGGAAAATAAATAGTCTTGACCGTATTTTCTTAGGCAACCCATTTGCGGTATATTCATATTTTATTTAATAAAAAAAAAACTTTCATCCATTAAGCAGATGGATGAAGGTTACAAATTTTAAATCCGCGGTTATAGTCATATTCACCAATCTGGTGATAAATTTGTAAATTTTATGTTTTGTTCACTGATTACAAATATACTTACCTATCCAGCTGTGGCGTATTATGTACTTTATTTTATGGTTTAATGCAGTTTAACTATTTATAAATGGCTGAATTAAAGTTTTTAATTTAATGTATCACAAGATAAGAGTTGCCATTTCTCATTTTCAAGAAGAATTAGAGGGTGCTGAAGGGTTAAAACTTAGAAATCAGTCAGTAACGTTTTTAAATATTTTCTTGTTATGAGTATAAATAATATTTGTGTATTTATTTTTTTGAAATTAACGTAAAATCAAAAGTTATTTGGACTTTTTGGTTTTAAAACGAAAACCCGGTAGAATATTACATTATACATAGAAATAGAACAGCATCCGATAGAATTAACGATGATGAAATTTAATATAATCAATAGGAAAGCGTAAAATGTTTAAACTACCAATTAGTTTCTGTTCGTCATTCTTTATGTTTAACACATGTTAAGTTACTGGTCCTATTCAGAAGAATGTTGTTAAAGGTGTTATCTTGCCGTATAGTTTAACTCATACTATTTATTAATGATGGACTTGTTAGTGAACAAATCAAAACTTTAATGGTGTGACGATTATTTTTTATAAAACACGGTAGCTAACTATATAATGAGGCAAATCGAATTGAGTTTTAAAAATAATTTAGATTTATTAAAAATCACAAAATACTAATTTAAGTTATAATAATAATAATAATAATAATAATAATAATAATAATAATAATAATAATAATAATAATAATCTAGGCAATGTTAGAATCCTGATTTTATATAAAATAAAGAGATTAAAATGACAAGTGTAAAAATTTAAAACTAAAAGTAGATATTTGAAGCTCTCCTCTAGATTCAGTTCTTGTGTCAGATATCTTTATATAATTTCATCATCTACATAGATTTAAAAAAAAAGATACCGTGGTGGCTTGATACTGTATTGTATTAACTAAGTAAACGGTCATAACTGGTGAGGGTTTAATATTTTTATTTACCTTTGGCGAATTGCCAGTTTTTCTTTTCTTGGTGTTCTTCATACTGATCCATAATCCAATCGGTTTTGCGACTCATTTCTTTTTTCTTATCTGTGTAGTATTCTGTGGACATAACTTCTTTACTTTTGTTTTAGTTTCAGTTTCTGAAGTTTATTGGATTGCTTAGCTCTGTATTTGCATCTGATTTACTATAATTTATAATTTTCCTTTTCAGGCATATAATATCAATTGTAGCAAGATCCACTATTCTAAATTTTCCATCACACAACAAAAACTATTAAAAAAATATTGGAACGTTACATAAAATTGCTGTTTTGGCTATTAAATATGTAAATAAATTATTTTATGTAAATTGCAGACAAAATTGCCGTAGGAATATATTGTTCGCTGTATTTGATATTTAAGGTTGAAGTTTGCTATATCTGATTTATTCATGAAAGGAAATTGCTGTTTATGATAGTAAACTGGGGTGTGAAAACATCCGGGACTGTATTGAATACAAATAATTCTGTTCAGTAATTATTGTGATTAACAGTAACTTAATACAAATGTTTTACATATTGTCATTCAACAATGTGTAATTTGCCCCTTAAAGTTGATCATAAAAACTTTATTATTAGTTTACAAAAAAAAGTCAGGTATCAGAATACCACAAAATATCAGTTGCATACGAGGTTTATCATAATGTTGTGTACATATAGCAAGTAACTTTTTTTTGTAAAACTAATAAATAAAAAGTTTCCTATTTTGTTGCCAACTTTACGATGCATTCTGTACTAAATCTGGTTAATATATAATATTAAATAAAATACAGTTTTATAATAATTGTTGATTTATTGTTAAAACTCTAAATACGAAAATGTTAAATTATATTTTTTAATAAAGTTGGACTGAAAACATATCAACTATTATTGATTAACTAAATATGAAGCTCATTACAATCTACGGGATTCTCACAACAGTAGTCGGCATCCCCACCTTCACTGTCATCTTCGTCTAAGGGTAATTCTTCTCCATTTTGTATATTCAGAACGTGCGTTAAATAGTCAAGTTGTGTTAATGATTACCATTTGGGTCCATCATGTTTAAGTAACAGACTCTTAACATCATTAATTTTTAGTTGCTTTGCTGTCTCGCGATATAATTACATTTATGTTTTTATTTTTTTTACAAATATTTCCATACTTTACAAGTTTTGATCTGTAAAATGGTTCCCCTTCAACTAAAACATTATTTTCTTGGATAGACTTCTTTAAGTAAAATCTCTTACATTGCATAAATTGCATATGCCATTATCCTGGAGGCTTATTAATGGATTCACAAGCCTTTTACCAATCAAAAGTATTGCAATCTGGGCCAACCTTTATAACAGTTGCGAATTGTGATATAATATCTGCATATTCTATTGGATTTATTATTATTTCTTTTCTCTTTATTTCTTTTTCAATAAGGTCAAAAAACACGGTCAGCAGGTAAATAGGAGTGCCCTGTCATTATAGAAGGATTTTCTAACATCCATTTGCTGCACATGCTAAGAATAAATGAATTTTTATTTTGTCCTCCACAGCCATCAGCTATAGGCAAATATTGTGAATATTTATTAAGTTTGTGTTGTTTAGCCTATGGCAAAGATCTAAAGCAACTGTATTTGAATCTTTTGCAAAAGCATCTTCGGTCCAGATATAAGCATATACATTATTTTTGATTTGTCTTTTGAAGGTGCTTCAATAAATATAGCTGTCTGCTATAGTAGGTTGCTTGAACGGGCAGCTTTGGAAACTCCTAATTATTTTGGCAATCGAAAGACATGGTTTTACTACCGTCCTCTTTTGTTTTTAAAATGCTATAGAAAGCTTTAGCATTGAGTGTATGTATTCGCTTCTGAATCATTAAATCCTTTTTCTTCACAGAGTCTGTTTCAGTTTTAATATTTTCTTGAAACTGAAGGCATATGGAACAAATGTCCGTACGTGGCGTTCCAAATCCGAGATTATATTCTGTATTAAAATGTTTTTTAAATAGACCCTGTTTAGCTCCTTGTCTATTCAAATACTTTTCTTGGTACATTTTATATAATTTATTTTTTGTTAGTTCACTTGGCAAATATTTTCTCACAGATGAATTACTCCTACAGTAATGTGGCTCTGTACATTTTAAACTTCCTATAAAATCATATACAGATTTTCTAACTTCGGTATATAAATGGTTTTTATGATCCCCTCCTCTCATTTCGATGGGAATTTCACCAGTCGTAACATTTTTATTCAATATATATTGAATTCTATATTTTTTTAAACCCAAAATATTAAAAAACACCTGTTGACAAACTTGAATTTCTTTATTACTAACTGGTACAAAAAATTGAGTCGTAAATATTTTTCTAGTATGATTTTTATTTTTTTACAACTGCTCTAGAATATCTTAATAATATTCTATCCTGATGTATGGAATTTATAAAACGCTTTATGGAATTATATTAATTCCTTCATTGTTAATGTGGAACATTGAAATCTTTTATTATTATGGATACAAACCCTTTCTAGTAATGATTTAGGTGCAAACTTAAATTAAAAAGAAAGCCTTAAAAAAGCAGGAAACTAAAATAACTACGTTGCCAGTAAACGGTCGCTGAAATGCATGGGGATAACTTTCAAGTGTGCACCGTTAACCGTAAATGTGTATTGTGCCGTCTGTCTGCGATCTGCCCTGTATGATGTGAATTGCGAATAGGCACACAACAACAGATATCCCCATAATACTATTACTCGAGAAGATAAACCCACGCGCATGCGGTCAGCCCATCTCTCCCGCACGCCTGACGTCACTGGGAGACATTACCTCAGCAACAGCCAGTTCTATACGGCGCAAAGCGGTTTTGCATGTATTACTGATTATTTAATTTTGTTTCTTTGGTTTGTTGTGTATTAAAAATAAACATGTGTAAAACTTTTTATGTGTTATATTTAAAAACATTGTTCTAAACATTTACTATGGTATACTGTGCAGTGGTGGGTTGTTCAAACAACAACAAAAAAACATGTTTTACCCCTCCTTTTTTACATTCATCCGTAATTTTTATAAAAATATTAAATAGATTGTAAAATAAAAATGTATATACTTGAAAAACTCTAAAATAAGATTAACGTGAATTTTTTTAAATATTTCAAATTTCCATAGCGAAAAACCTATAAAACGATATATTACTCGATTTTTTACGACAAATTGCAATTTTTTACCATTTCCCCCGACATTTCGCCCCCTTCCCCTTTACCAATTTTACTTAAAAATATTTCAATCCGACCCCTAATGGAATAACACCAATCTATAGCGCAATTTCTTTAAAAGTTATGGTGAATACCAACAGACAGAAATTTTCTTTTTTGCTCATATTACTTTTTCTATACGGTTTGGAACATTTTAAGATTATTAAGCAAGCCAAAAAATATTTAATTTAATAATATATCAGTATTACAATAAATAAACATAAATATTGATTAAAACCGCTCTAGCATATGCCCTCGAGCTGGATTGTTGTCAACGGTTGACGTCATGCGCAAACGTGGTCGAGATTGGATCGTCAAGTGGGCTTATCTTCTCGAGTAATAGTATAAAGAGATATCCCCACAATCCCAGCTCAGAGACCCGTTGGTAACGTTGATTTTATAAGTTTCCTTCTCGATCCAATGCAAAGTCTCTGTAGTTTTCGCTTCGACACTAGCAAAACGTACTAGAAGGTTTCAATAGCCGATACTGTATACGTATACAAATTGAAATTTCATATTCATACAATTAACACCATTTTTTATGACTGTTTAATTTTTTTCATCACACCAATTAAAAATGTCTAAACTATTTAAAATATCAATAAAATATTATGATGTTCTACACACCAACCTATTATGTACCTGTTTCTTATTGTCAATATAAATTTACTAATTGTGGTTCTGGAAAAACTGTTGCTTACCTCAATCGTTTCGCCTTATTTGCTTTCCAATTTTCGGCATTTCTAACACGCTTTCTTGCGTGTTTTTTTGTCTGTAGGGGTACAAGATACCTCCATTTTATACATTTTCACTAAACACTACTTATTATTTTATTATTATATAGTAAAAAAACAGTAATTTACTATGAGCGTGTTTTTACAAACCGATTACAGCTACCATACTGATTTAACTGCTTGTTTCTCGTTTGTTATTGGCTGAAAGTGACTTTGCTAATTTTGTTATGTCAAATCTGAAGATTGCCGTTTCTGATACAAACTTACAACTTTGCTGAATGCTTTTAACGGCTTATTTCTGTATTTACGAAATATGATCTGAAATTTTAATAAACAAACATTACAAACAGGTACGACACAAGAAGCTTAAATCAGAAAATTTGGAGTTTGCTGCTTTTGATATTAGACCTCTGTTTCTATTGTTTTGTACCAGTTCAGACATTAACCCTACAATGCGCATTTTTCTTTTTTTTATCAAAAAAATATTTTTCTTATGTAGTTTTTACCTAAGAACATGGGAAAAATAAATAAAAAAATCCACTTAATTTTTTTTAATTTATATTTAAAAAAATGTATATGTATCAGATCTGCTACATCGTGTATTTGTGGTACATGAAATTAAAGTGCTCTATTCCGTGTGGAATTTGACAAAACAATTGTTATTTTTGTTAAGGCATAAGTGTACACCACATTTTGAACATTTAATAAAAGAAAACGATTTGCATTGTGGAAATTTGCATCGTTGCCTTGTTTCATCTTGAATTGGCCAATGACTGACAGAATCTTGTCGCACATCTTTTGGTGGAATATATGCAGTGGTTACAGATCGCTTCTTTTTTGCTTGTATGTTCTTTTCGAGGTCACTTGGTCTTCCTCTTTTACTAGTACTTGAATTTCCTTGATTGCATAAACAATATGCAATATCAGCACGAAATTTTGAAAGAGGTAAATATTTTACCCCGCGACTTTTGTACATTTTTCTATACAATAACCAGGAATTTATAATTGTCATGTCGAGCAGGTGGTAAAATAATCGGATATACCATTTTCTAGTACGCATTTTTATTTTATGGCGTCCTATCAATCCATCCAGTAAGTCGACACCACCCATGTGACGGTTATATTCCTTGACCAGATTGGGGCATGGGACATCAACAGATTTCTTTTCTTTTTTATCGAATCGCTTTACTTGTGAAAATGGCAACTCTCCAGTAAAGGACGATATAAGCGTCACTATTTTATTATCCTTCCAAACAACTGATGAAATTTCTTTACCTTCAATATCGGCTACAAATTCGTAGGAAGTTCCACGTTTCTCTTTTGCCATGTCTTTCTCGCTGGGCAGTTTGCAATTAGGGATCCTTGATCGTCTTACAGTTCCAAGGCAAAGTATTCCACAATTGGCTAAGTGGACAGCTAAGGGTATTAAAGAATAAAAATTATCAAAATATATTCTACAATTCTGATTGTGTGGCACATTTCTACATAATCGAATGACGACGTTAGCGTGGTTTTTACACAGACCTTGTACAGTATGCACACAACAATAAACATAACCACACACTCGGCATAGGCGTTAAATAATGCGCACCAATATATTTACCGCGCATATAGAGGTGTATCATCTTGTCTACAAATGTTAGTAAAGGAAAGTTTTGAAATCTGAATTAAGTAAAGCGAAATAATGTTAGTTGTATCAGATCGTCTACAATGCGCATTGTAGGGTTAAACAATACCTTTTCATTTTGGGTTCTGACTTGATTTTCGTTAAACAACGCCTTGTTTCTACTATGGTTACTTCTATGGTTTCCTCTTGATTTTCTTAAAACAGCCTGATTTGTTTGCGCTAAAAGGGCTTTAGCAGATGACGGTGGCCTAGAAGGATCATCTTGTGTTTGATTTTGTTTCATCACAATGCAATAATATTTTGATTTACCGATTTTTATTTGTGTTTTTTAACTTTAAAATTAGCAAATCTGTTACTTTTTTCAATTATCACGATCAAAATCATTTGCACTTATCGTATTGCACTAAGTAATTTGACCTAGTTATTTTCTATAAGGAGAGGAAGGGGTGTGTTGCTCCAAATTACTTAAGCCCCACTAGATCCAGTGTGCATCCTACAAGAGCAAATAAATACTTCATGCCTTTCAGCTTGTGAGGTTCCTACAGGCTAATAATGTCACCGAGGCGTCATTAGATGCCTTATTTTGTAAGTGGCTATTTGATTCGTTTCTACTATCCCAATTAAGCTATTTTGCCTGTCGGCTCCACAGGAGGTGATGTAGTTATTAAACATAGATCCACACTTGTCTGATTTGTTTAATCGAAATTCAACAACATTTTACTTATAGGCAATAATGTTTATACAGTTAGACAAAAAAATATTGTTTATAATAGAAAAATAATTAACAAAAACACACTCGCGTATCGGGGACAATACTAATTCTTTGACATTGCTGTCGTGGGAGGTGTTTGTATGAATGCGTCTTGTTTGTTTTCATTTACGCCGTGACTAGCAGTAGTATTTTATAAACCTTAGAAGCAAATTTCACATACATTAAAAACTAATAATAATAATAAAGCCGTGACAACAAGAAGACGAAGCAACGACTTCTCGTAGGGTGGCGGCTTCGCCGCCACCAGAAAATTTTAATCCATTCCTGGCTACGCCGACCGGCATAGACACCAACGGCCTGAACACAGCTTACCTACCTCTGTCAAAAGGAGATCGATGTACAAATAAAACGCGTATGACATGCGCACTACAAAAGATTAGTGTTGTCCCCGATACGCGAATCAAAAACACTGATTCAGAATACAAAAATACCTATTCGACAGTCAGGTTTTCGTTTTGACTATAGTTGTGCTACAGATCTACTTGATGTCACTGATGATCCCTTCAGAGATATTAATGCTAAAAAACAGCAGCACTTGTTATGCTCGATTATTCCAATGCATTTGATACTATTAATTATACAATTTTTCTCTCAATATTACATTTTACTGGTTGCTCTAATAATGTTATACTTTTTAAGTTATATTGACAGGAAGAAATGTAGTTACTGATTCAGGTTCATTAAATTCTGAGCATATTTCCAGTGTAGTTCCTCAGGGATCAATACTTGGGGCATTATTATTTTCATTATATATCTCCAACTTTGGATTAAGTATGGTAAGCCATTCTTATAGCCGATAATAACTCAAATTAAATTTTATTTCGATCATGATGATGCTTTAGAAGCCAGTAATCATATTAATAAAGATCTTGACAGATTAGTTAAACGTGACGTTAAAAGTGCATTCAAACAGCTTATATAAATCTAAAAATACTTTACCCACGTCGACATATTCTTCCAACTTAAAAAATCTTATAAAAAGTTTATTAATGACCCAGCAAACTAATAGCCTACCTACATTTTAGAATGTTCATATTAAAAAAAAACACATTTGTTTATACATACATCATTCTATCATTTTGGCAACGTTACATTATGATTTTTCAATCAATTTGGCGTCCGTATATCGACGCCACTTTGATTTTTCTTAATAAATTTTGTTGAGAGTTCAATAGACATACCGTTTCTATCGCATTCGAACTGAATGTGACTTAAAATACTACGTATCTATCTGCTTTATTTAGAATAATTTACACTTTTGGTGTGTGTCAAAATAATGGTAGAATGAAAAATTTATATATAATTAGTTTAGCGTTTTTCCATATGAACATTACCGTAGATGTATATCCAGATTTTAGCCTACAAACATTTTGACACTGAAAATTTGGGAACATTGTATACTGATATTTGAACGATGAAGTTCTTATTGGGTGGCTCAGTGGTAGAGTGTGGGCTTGCGAATCCAAGGGGACGCGGTTCGAATCCCACCGTTGACCGGGATTTCTTTAATAAATTTAATTATTTATAAATAATTCTGATGTCTAGGTAGAATTCCCAATCACTGTTGGATTCTAATTAACAGTGCTGTTTCTTAAGTGGCGCTGGGAAACAGTCACAAAGCCTACACAAAACACACATTAATATAAATGTAACACAAACTGAGACGGCATATTAGGTGTACCCACCTAAGCCATAAAATATAAATAAATATTACTAGAAATTGTTTGTGTTTTTTAAAGTAAATATCTAGTAGATAATATCAGAGCAAGTAAATTAAATCAATATATTATTGATAGAATTTTTGTTACTTTTATATAGTAGAATATGATTTTGTTATATTTGGACAAATTTATTAAAATTAAATAAAATTAAAAACATTTTTTTATTTAAAAAAGCTGAAATATTAAACAAAAAACTAATTAGTGAAACATAAAAATTATTAAAATGGAGAGAAATTTACATTTGCTCTATGATAATGAAAATTAAAAACAAAGCAAAAAAACTTTTGAAATGTTAATCAAAAGTCGAAATAATATTTACCTTCTTTGAGTATGTGTTTTGAATAAATGCCTTTATTTTTTGAAGTCTTTGTTATACATTATGTCCAATTAAGTCGAAACCTCATGGAAACTTTTCTATTCTTAGTTTTATATATAAAAGTCATTTATTATAAAAGTTCTGCATGTTTCAAAACTTAAAATGCAACCGTCAGATATAATCATTTTTAACACAAATTTATCACAAATATGAATTTTGCTAAATAGTAAAGTACCTTTGTTTTTGACAAACCTCGTATAGACTAATACAATTTGATATATGATAGTTGACTTTTTGGAAAAAATAACTTTTTTCCTAATAATAATAAAAAAGTTTCTCATATGCCACCAACTGTCTACATAAGTTTATTATTATATTATTCTTGTCATTTTAAAACGGTTTTCGTAATTTAATTAAAATTTTGTGCCTTTATATATAACGTAGTTACTAAAACTGAGATTTATATGTCAGAGATGTAAGTGGGCCTATAGTAGGGTTAATATAATAGCATACTAACTTACGCAATACCCAACAAATGTCAAGTTTCATTATGCTAACAAACCAATTTTCTTAATTCGCCAAGTTACTACCTCCTAAATCATACAAATGAATTTGTGAACATAAACAGGCTATAAAAACCTTACTTATGTCTCTCGAGGACGATATGAGTACAAGAACAACTCAATATACTTAAGATGTTTATTAGCTTCCATTTTATTACCTCATCTTCCTTAATACTTCGCGAACTTGTAAATTTTATTTTTGAATAATCTAGATATCGCCTCCTACGCTTTACCGAGGTATTTTCCCGGACTCGAATTAAGTGGTTTAATAAATCCAGTGACGTAGAAGTAAAAAAAATAATCTAACTATTGTAATTTAATTTTAGACAAAATTAGGTAATATGATTAGATATACAAGGTGTCTCAAAAAAATACCAAAATACTTTAAAAGATGATAGAAGATATCAAAATATACTTTTTGTTTTATAAACATATGTACGAAAATAAGTCGTTTGGGTAAAAAACGAAAAATGTTTTTGTTTATTTCAGTGATAAATAATTTAAAAAATATTTAGCAAGGCAAAATAACAATACAATATCTGTTAAAATGTTGACAATTTGCTTTAATACAAAAATTACTCCGTTGTTCATTGACTCGCGGACTTTATGAAATATTCTTGGAATAGCTTCCTCATCCGTAAAACGACCATTATCCTTGCCAAGTGCTCTTCCTTACTGCCAATAGGCGTTTCGTAGACTAAAGAGTTCAAATAATCCCACAGTAAAAATTTAAGGGGTTAAGATCTGAAGAACGCGGTGGTCAGGTCACGGGAACTCCTCCAACTAGTCCAAATGCTGTCGCATGTTTAAACCAAAATGTGGAGTTGCACATGTTATTTCTAACGGACATTTTATAATAATAGAGGCAACATATTTAACATAAAATGAAGATAAATGTTTAAACGAGCAGGAGCAAGTGATCTATAGCTTTTCTCCTACAATATTTCCAGGCTACATGTTTACAGAAAATTGTTGCTGGTCTCTTCTAAAGACCAATTTTCATCATGCCAGAGGCAGCTGTTCCTACGATTAAAATAACCATTGTGACTAAAACGTACCCTATGCGTAAACAATACTTTTTTTCTGAACAGTGGCGGCTAGTGATAAATTAAAATGGGGGTTCAATTTTTTCCAATAATTTTAGTATTTGTAATACTTTGTAAGAGAGCCAATACAATTAAATTCCAAATTTTTTATAAGATTCCTGAGTCATAAAAAGGTTCCTTGATACCATCTGAAACTTGTGACATTTTCGAAGAACCTGTCAATCTAAAAAAGTAAAAATTTTTCCTGTTGTTTCGGTTAGGTTTTAGAGAGGACAAACCTAAGAGCTAACAGTGAATCCTAAAATATGCTTTGCACAAACATTTGCTCTTTTAGTAAAGCAATTCTGGATTAAATTACGTGGCTATTCAAAAGCCACTATACCCACCCAAGATGAAAATAATTGGTTTTGTTCAAATTAGGCCCGGCAGAACTGTTTAAGTCTTTATGACCACTATACCACACTATGAGTAAAAGCAATCGTATAAAGTAAATTTAAATTCCCACTGCAAACCCCGAACAAAATAAAAAAATTGGTTATTTTAGATTAATCCGGTATTTTCGATTTTTTAGAGCTATTATATTGGATTTTGAATAATCGAATACAATATTATACTGTTTTCAAACACTACAAATTATAAATAACCTAATATACGCTAGTCATAAATAAATAATCGATTCATAAAATTAATCGATTATTTGAAAAAATAATAATCGAAAAAATCGATAAATCCATTTTATATCCGTTTTATATCCATTTTATATCCATTTTATATCCATTTTATATCCATTTTATATCCATTTTATATCCATTTTATATCCATTTTATATCCATTTTATATCCATTTTATATCCATTTTATATCCA